CATCGCACAATAACGACACATAATAAAAAATCATAATTACATCAACTCAACATAACCTCAATAATGACATTATCTGAATAATAACCCAATAATGACATCATCTCAATAATGACATTACCTCAATAACCCAATAATGACATTACCTCTATAACACAATAATGACATTACCTCTATAATGATATTACCTCAATAATAACCCAATAATGACATCACCTCTATAATGACATTATCTCAATAACCCAAAAATGACATTACCTCAATAATGACATTACCCGAATAATAACACAACAAGTCATTAAGTCAGTAAGGCCAAAAAGTCAGATGGCTGTAATCGGCCATCCTTGACCAGATTTTGAAACAAATTGTCATGGACATGCATCCTAACATGTATAAAGTACATGTATGTGCCAAATTTGAATAAAAACTGACAGAGCACATCCAAGATACTGCATAAAAAAACAAAAACAAGATGCCTGCCAGTCGACCATCTTTGATCCAATTGCGAAATAAATCGTCATAGACATGTATCCTAACATGTATAATCTATGTACCAAGTTTGAATGACAACTGACAAAATACAACATTTTCAAAAAACAAGATGGCCATTTTGAATCGAATCGCTAAACCACCGCATGTGCATATGTCCCATATAAGGTACTAGGCACATGCAAAGAATGAACGGAATCAGTCCACAGGATTCTGAAATATGACGTTGGATAGACTGACGCACGGACAAACGGACACATGGACGGTCGGACGGACAGACTCAGGAACTCACGGACGGTCGGGGACATGTATCCTAACATGTATGATCTATGTACTAAATTTGAATGAAAACTGACAAAGCATGTCCAAAATACAACATTTTCAAAAAACAAGATGGCTGCCAGTCGGCCATCTTTGATCCAATTGTGAAATAAATCATCATGGACATGTATCCTAACATGTATAATCTATGTACATTTTGTACCAAGTTTGAATGAAAACTGACAAAGCCTGTCCAAAATACAACATTTTCAAAAAACAAGATGGCTGCCAGTCGGCTATTTTGAATCGAATCGCTAAACCACTGCATGTGCATATGTCCCACATAAAGTACTAGGCACATGCAAAGAATGAACGGAATCGGTCCAAGGGATTCTGAGATACGACTCCGGACGGACGCACAGATGCACGGACGGACGGAGACCGAATTATAAGTCCCCGTTTTCGGACTTTGTCCGAATGGGGACTAATAATGACATCATCTCAATAATGACATCACCTCTATAATGACATCATCTCAATAATGACTGACACACAAAAATGTACAATTATGTATCACACTGTATGGATTTATTTAACTCTTTTCTCATTAATTTTAAGAATTTAAAACACTAACTTTAAACATAATTAAACAGCAAACTTTACAATGATTCCATAATTTTACCAATAATAATACTGTAAATGATGAAATGTACATTCAACAAAAAGTGACAAAATATTAAAATAATAAATGAAAAAATAGATTTGGTAACCAGTGTTTCCCTCATAGAAATTAAAGACAAACAAAAGATTAATTGACAATATGTATTCTATAACAGCGTTATTTGTAGACTTCCTTGATGTAAATACAGCCATGTAACAATTTTACTATGGATGATGAAAGGATTCTGTAGATGGTTACTGAGTGGATGAGATCAAAGTTGGACCAAAACCAGCTAACCAATAAAAACACAAACTGTGATCCCCATCCACTGATATACAGTCGAGCTGATTCGTGACCTGGGTTATTATTCACTGCAATAGTTGAATGCCTAGTTAGACTTAAAACAGAACCACTTACTGTAAATACTTGCATAATGCCGAAATAGACTTTCAATCTTGGAAAAAGGTGATATACATGATCTGATATAATTTGATTTAATATTAGATTTATTAAACTAGTATAATTACAAATATTCATTTTAGAACTTTGTTTTCTGAACTATGATTACTTAACAATGAATGTCAAACCAAATGTAAGGATTCATGAATGACATTGAATATATCACATGGTTGTATTTCAAGGAAGTACTGATAGATACTAAAACACAATAGTCATAGAAAGTATAATGCATTAAAATTACAGTAGAACATGATTTAAAACATGAAAAAATGTTAAAAGAGTGAAAATACATTTAAATTCAACAACAATAAAAAAACACATATAGATAAAGCTGAATTATTGATTTTTGAGGCACTTTTGATAATTAGAAAAAATCTGAAAATTTACAAATAATGTATATGGCATATTAAAGCAACAAATTCACATCTCTGGTTTAGCCAAACGAAAATATTCATTAGATAACGAGGTAATATACATAAAAATCTAAAACAAACAAAAGCTAAGAAAATATTTTTTTGATAAAAATGCTATAATACATATTTAAATTGAGGCAGTGCTTTAATGTACTGAACTAAAAAGTTTCTAAAATAGTAACAGTTATTTTACATTTTCTTATATCTCCTGAAAACATACCATCAGTTGTTTTTATAATTCTTGCATGACAATGACTTGATATTGCGAATAAGCCAATTTAATCAGAATACATTGTTTTTATGATAACTGAAGCATTTACATATTTTTATGCACATAATTCCATAAGTACTGTAGGAAAATAAACATTACTTTAACTACTGAGATATTGTAGCTAAGATTGAATGTCTTTAGTTCAGATACATGAAGATATACGGCAGTCAGCTTGGTTAATTACATAACTTCCATTGCATAATACTCATATCCTTTCCTCCAGTTGATAGTAGACGACTGTCATCTTTCAGGAATCTTACACAAGTCACATGACTACTGTGCCCACTGTATGAATGACAATGACTCTGAAAAAAAACAATGCATTTAGCATATAGCATGATTTGAAAAGCAATGACTCAACAATACTTAGAATTCAATTCCATCCCCATCTAAATAATGATGTACATTTTAAAAGAGTTTTTGTAATTTGTTATTGTCAATGTGAATTTTAGAAACAGAATTTTGCTTACACACTTTTTTCAAAGTTTTGAGCATAATTTCAATCAAAGAAAGCTTAGAAAAAACTCCCATGTGCTGAGAGTATTGGAGACACATTAAAAATAATTCGAAATTACTTGTACTTGAGATATTGAAAACTGAAAACCAATTATGCAAATCAGAAAATTAACATGAACAGATTTGAGTGTAAAACTAATGAGGTCTGTGCAAAGTAACAGACCATCTATGTACCAAGTTTTATTGAAATGTGATTAGAACCAAGAAATTATGCTAATTAGGAATTAATATGAAGAGATTTTAATCCCAAACTAATCAGGTTTGTACATTGTCCTAGAGCATCTTTGTACTAAGTTTCATTGAAATGGAATAATTAGTACTTTAGATATCAGTGTGATAGCTTAGAATTGGTTAATTATGCAAATTAGTATGTACAGATTTAACCCACAATTAATCAGGTTTGTCTATTGTCATATAGCATCCATGTACAAAGTTTCATTGAAATGTGATGATTAGTACTTGAGATATCAGTGTGAAAGTTGAAAATCGATTAATTATGCAAATTAGGTAATATGCACATTTATTTAACCTGAAACTAATCAGGTCTCTGCATAGTCCCTTGGTATTTATGTACCAAGTTTTATTGAAATGTAATGCTTACTACTTGAAATATCAAAAGCTTAAAATTAATTATGCAAATTAGGTAATTAATATGTACTGATATTACCCTAAAAACTATCAGATCTGTGCAGTGCCCTATGATATCTATGTACGAAATTTCATTGAAATCTGATGATTAGTACTTGAGGTATCAGTGGAAAATCAAAGAAAGCTTAGAAAGAACTCCTGTGTGCTGAGAGTTCTGGAGACACATTAAAAATTAATTCAAAATTACTTGAACTTGAGATGTTGATGGAAACGCAGAAAATTAATTATGCAAATAAGGTAACAAACAGATTTAAGTGTAAAACTAAGGTCTGCACAATGTACCAAGTTTCATTGAAATGTGATTAGAACCAAAAAAATATTAATTATTATGCTAATTAGAGAATTAATATGAACAGATTTTAACCCAAAAATAATCAGGCTGTCTATTGTCCTAGACCATTTATGTACCAAGTTTTATTCAAATGTGATGATCAATACTTGAGATATACACTATTAATTAATTATGTTAATTAGGTGATTAAGAAGCATAAATATTTACCAAAAACTAATATGGTGTATAGTTCTAGGTTCATTGAAATGTGACAGGTACTCTTGAAAAGTTTCGTTGAAATTCAATGAGTGGTTTTTAGACATCAGTGCAACAGCCATAGAACAGCAAAAAATTAACTAATTATGCAAATTAGGTAATTAATAGGCACAATTATTTATCCCAAAATTAATCCGGTCTCTGCATAGTCCTAGAATATCTATGTCGCAAATCTCATTGAAATGTGATGATTAGTACTTGAGATATCAGGTGAAAAGCTGAAAATTAACTAATTATGCTAATAAGGTGATTAATATGCACAAATATTTATCCAAAACTAATTAAGTCTCTACACAGTCCTCAAGTAACT